CCAACCCCCCATCCCCAACCCCCCATCCCCAAACCCCCAACCCCCCAAACCCCCATTCCCCCATTCCCACATCCCCAAACCCCCATTCCCCCATTCCCCCACCCCCAAACCCCCATCCCCGTTCCCGTTCCCCGCTCACTGTGCAGCCTCCACAGGACGTAGAGCGGGGGGCAGCTCTCGGGGTCGGGGCTCAGCACATCCCACAGGAGCCGCACGCGGACGCGGGAGGGCTCGGGGGGCTGCGGGCCGGGCCGGGGGGGGTCAGCACAGCCCCACCCCGAGCCCCTCGCAGCCACCCCCAGCCCCCCAAAGCCCACCTGGGGGTCGCGGGGGGCGTGCTGGGAGCCCAGCAGCAGCAGGGGGAGGTTGCTGGGCAGGGCCAGGCGCTGGAAGTACCACACCAGGTTCCAGTAGATGATGGGGTGGCTGTCCACGAGCTCGGGGCGCGCCAGCAGCTCCCCGCCCTCGTTCTCCACCAGGCTCTCCAGCTCCTTGCGCAGCACCAGCGGGCTCAGGTAGGCGAAGGCCACGCGCTCCCAGCGCCCCGGGGGCTGTGGGGACCCCCGAATTAGAGTGGGGGGACACCCCCTGCCCATTCCCTGGGACCTTGGAATAGCGGGGGCACACTTGGGACCCCCGAATTAGAGTGGGGGGACACCCCCTGCCCATTCCCTGGGAACCTCAGAATGGGGGGGCACACTTGGGACCCCCGAATTAGAGTGGGGGGACACCCCCTGCCCATTCCCTGGGAACCTCAGAACGGGGGGGCACACTTGGGACCCCCAAACTGCGCTGGTGAGGGACCCCCTGCCCAGCCCAGAACCACCAAACCCGGCAGGGACTCCCCCAGAGACCCCAAATCCCGGGTGAGACTGTCCCAACCCCAAATCCCAGGGATGAGGGACCCCTCCCCATTTCCAGCCCCCGCAGGGATCCCCCCCAACCCAAAATCCGGGGTGAATCCCCCCCCTCCCCATTCCCAGGCCCCTCCAGGGCCCCCCCAGCCCCGGGCCCGGTGTCCCCCCGGTACCGGGGTGTCGGCGCAGCCGTTGCACAGCTCGGGGGTCTCGTCCAGCTCGAGGCAGCGCCGGCGGTCGCTGAGCACCGGCCCCTGCGGGGAGGGGGGCACCGGGCCGGCCCCGGGGGGGCTGCGGGAGAGACGGGGGGGTCACGGGAGCACCGGGGGACGTTTGGGGGTCCCCAGAGGACGGATGGAAGCGGGGGGGGGACGGTGGGGAGCGATGAGAGGTGACGTCAGGAGGGCACTTGGACATCGGGGCGTCCCCACCGAGGATGGGGGTCCCTGAGGTTGCCCCTGGGGTCCTCCAGGAGTTTTCCGGGGGGGTCCCCGGGGGTCCCACCTGGGGGGGCGCCGGAAGTCGCGGATCTCGATGCTCAGGAAGGGCACGAAGGAGCGGGAGCAGAAGGGGCAGGAGGTGTTGAGGTTGGAGTCGTCCGAGGTCCAGCCGGCCATGAGCTCCTCGTCGAACACGAGCCCGGCACAGCCCGGGCAGCGCGAGCAGCTGGACAGCAGCACCTGGGGGGCAGCGGCCTGAGCTGGGCTCTGACCCCCCCAAACTGGGCTCTGACCCCCCCAAACCGGGCTCTGACCCCCCCAAACCAGGCTCTGACCCCCCCAAACCGGGCTCTGACCCCCCAAACCAGGCTCTGACCCCCCCAAACCGGGCTCTGTCCCCCCAAACCGGGCTCTGCCCCCCCAAACCAGGCTCTGCCCCCAAACCAGGCTCTGCCCCCAAACCGGGCTCTGCCCCCCCAAACCGGGCTCTGCCCCCCCAAACC